AGAAAAGTTTTAACCGATATATATATATATATATATATGGGATAGCTTTACGTTTGCGTCTATTACGAAAAAAGGAAAGAAAAAAAAAATGATGTCGAGTTTTTATGTGGAGATGCGAAATTATAAACTATATAGCGATGCGTATGACTTAAGAAGCCGTATCTCATGCTAATCATATCTCGAAGAACAAGTTTTAAACACACACTCGGTGAGAATCGATCATTAGTTAAAATCCTAGTTAGGCAAAGGTTTTCTTACTTGCATATATATCGCGACTGATGAATGAAACTACAGTAATGGAAAAGTAAGGAAAACCTGACAGAAATGATATACAAGTAGCGTTAGAGGTAAATACACGTATAAGAGTGACAGTGCAACAAATAATAGTCGATTCTCGCTGGAACACAGATGTATACGCAACTGTTCCAATTCTTTTGTTTGATCGGACAGTTAATTAATGACCATTACTACTACTACCACCATTAACCCTTTCGCCGGTAGAAGACAGTTTATCTCTTCTTATTCGCAGTGGTGCATCTCACGCTCTGAGAGTATATCTTCAAAATAAAATGTTTCAATTTCAATTTAATTTTTAGTTATTTGTCGAAAATCAAGTGTAATTTGTCGAAACAACAGTGTAATTTAGCGTATAATATTATATAATGCACAATTATATAATATTCGTTTCTGATATAGCCGGCGCGAAAGGGTTAATATTATTACATTATGCTACTATTATTAGTATTAGTACCCCAATTGCAAAACAGTTATTACTATTACAAGGGAATCGAGAGACGAGGTATTAAACGAGAGTTCGAGTCTTTTGTACATTTTTGCGTTAAAACTAAACGTTCGTTAACTTGTGAAACGAGTGCCAAGGTAGTGTGTGATTCTCGTTCGTTTCTGCAAAAAAAGAAAAAGAAAAAAGAAGAAAAAAAAGTTCGTCTTTCATGGTGTATTTATACAAAGTGTAATTCTTTCTTTCTTTTCAATCTTTTATTACGTTAGACGAATACGATAACGGCGTTATCTCGACGATATTAGCGATAATAAGTTGGAAAAACAAGACGGACAATTTAAAAAAAGAAAGAAAGAAAAAAAAAGAAGATTGCGTTCGAGAAGGTGTGCGGCGGAACCTCGTCTCGCAATAATTCTCCATTTACAAGTAGTCAACATTTACAAGCAAAAGTTAGATTCAAATGATTAACAGCATGACAGTATATTTATATTCAGAAGTCATAAGGTAGTCATGCGACTCGCATGTATATTGAGTAGGATGTCTGTTGTTCGTTTGTACGCCCGGACAAGTTTTGATAGAGCTACGTGAAATGGATCTCGCAATCTGTCATCTATACGATAGAGGAAAGAAAACCGGAAGATCCATTTGAACATAAAAATGGTGAATAGGGTATCTTGAAGAAAAAAAAATAAAAAAAAAAAAAAAGAAAAAAATCAATAGAATTTTAAGTAGAATCTCCATTAGAGAAATAAAATAAAAGCAGAAAAATAACAACAACAACAACAACAATTTCGAGGATATATGAAAATTAGCGTTTACGTGTTTAGACGCTGTCGAAACGAGGAAATTGTCTTGTGAATATTTTCTTGTCTTCGCAATTATTCTTACTACAGAGAATCGTTTTGATGTAATCCACTTGAGAGAAAAGAAG